TGAGGCCAAATTTGAACTCAGGAAGCTCTTTTAATCCAAACCCTTAATTTTGCAAATATTCTTATTCTCAAAGCTACTAAACTGTGTGTATCCTATGACTCCAAGATACAACTACTATTCCTATAGCCTAAAGAGATCAAGAAAGAGGAAAAGACCCCTATGTATAACAATATTTAAAGCACCTCTTTTTTGTGGTGCTGAAGGACTAGAAACTAAGGGGGTGCCTGGGGAATAGCTGAACAAATTCTGGCATGTGCATGTAATGGAATATTAATGTGTAATAAGAAATGATGAAAAGGACATCTTCAGAGAAACCTGAGTAGATTTGTATGAACTGATGCAGAAGCAGGAGAACAATTTCTACAGTAATTTCATCATTTTAAAGACAAACAACTTTGCAAGACTTAAGAACTCTGATCAATGCAATGATCAACCACAATTCCAGAGGACCCATTATGAAACACGCTATTGACCTCTTGACTGACCAGTGAGAGACTCAGGGTGAAAATGTGACATCTATTTTTTAGGCATGGCCAATCTGGGAATTTGTTTTGCTTGACTATGTGTATTTGTCACAAAAGTTTTTCTTCTTTCTTTTTAATGGGAGAGGTAAGAGGGAGAAATATCTTTTTAATTGGAAAAAAATTAAATTAAATTTGAGCACATCTAAGGTCACAGAACTGGAACCAGAACCCAGTCTCCCAGATTAGCCCTTATTGTATCACACCAGGCTGTTCTCCAAGGTGGCATGTTTGATTAACAGTGAAGGAAAAGAAAAAAGTCAGCACTGAAACCTGCTTGACACAGACTATGATGACATTTTCCAATATAGCATTGTTGGCTTCCTAAAATTGCAGCATTCCTTATGTTTAAAAGTACAGCTGTCTTGCTTGTATTGTCTCCATGAATTCAAAGATCTGCCATATTTTTCACTAGATAATAGGATCACAGAGATAGCAAGGACCTCTGAAGCCACCTAATCCAGCCCATTCATTTTACACATGAGGAAACTGAGGCTTGGGAGGTTGAATGACTTGCCCATGGTTACACAGGTATATAACCATCAGAGGTGGGGTTTCACTCTAGATCCTCAGGCTTCAAGGATTGCTCTTTCCGCTGTGTTATGCTGTCTCCCTAACTCTGCTTTTTCAAACCTGTCCTCTCCTCCACAACTGAGTAATTTAGCATTGTGAATGTGCAATTCTCCTGCTAACTAAAGATGTCTGATACTGCAGATTCTTATACCAAACCAAATAACTTGGAAATCACCAGAGATCATCTTTTCTTCTCGGGGAGACGAGGATCCTGTCTATATATAGAAAAGGATTGTTTTTCCCATTAACCCAATGGTCATCAGATAGCATATTCCTATATACACCACTTGGCATCTCGCTCTGTGACTACAACAGAAGATGAATGACAGTATTTAAAGAATTGTATTTAGGTGTCAGGGACTTGTGTCCAACAGGGCTATGTGAAACAATTCCTAATATTTTAAGTCATTAGTAATTTTAAAGGCTAAGGCTCAAGTGCAAATTTTAACAGTGAGTTCAGAATTCCCATCAAATGTTTATAATCAACTTTTCAATTACAATGGGCTTTTAAAAGTCTCCTGCTGTTAGCCATTGGCTTAATAAAAATAAGACTTCATTTATGGCAGAGTCTGCTGTTGTCTTGCATGTAGCAGGGCCAAGGGTGTAAACTTTAGTAAATCAGCTAAAATTGAAGCCTTCTGTCTTGAACAATAATGCAATTTTTTTTTTGGTTGCAACCATCTTTAGCATGAAATGTCTAAGCGATTCTGCTCATAGCAGAAATAAAACTGCCAAAATATGTCCTTAATTCAGCCTGCCTTTCCGTGGCATAGATAACAATGCTATAAGTGACATACAGAACATAAATTTTCAAATATGTGAGAGAAATTGGACTGGGTGTGTTTGCTTATAAAAATTCCAAAACTAACTGGTGGTATGAGAATACTGAATGAGGAACTGGATTTGACTCAGTAACTGTGTGACCTTGGACAAGTCATATAACTTCTCTTGGCATTAATTTATTTGTTGGTAAAATGAGAGTATGGCAGCTAGGTCGTGCAGTGGATAGAGCACCAGGCCTAGAATCAGGAAGACTCAACTTCCTGAGTTCAAATCTGGCCTCAGAGACTTCCTAGCTGTGGCACCTTGGGCAAGACACTTGACCATGTTTGCCTCAGTTTCCTCATCTGTCAAATGAGCTGGAGAAGGAAATGGCAAACCACTCCAGTATCTTTGCCAAGAGAACGCCCAATAGAGTCACAAAGACTTCTATGGTGACTGAAGTAACAACTGAAGGACAAAACAAGGGTATGGGATGAGAAGAACTCAAAGGTCCCTTCCAGCTGTGGTTCTACGTTCCCATGAGCACCATCTCCATCTGGATAACTAAGTAAGTCAACCTTACACAAAAATGGCATCTATTCTTTGACTGATTACTGCATAGTGTATGTGTATGGCTAAATACACCAACATGTGGCTTTTTAAATATTTTAAATATTTAAATAATATCTAAATATTTAAATATTTCTGCTCTTTGGTTGGGGGGGGGGGTTCTTTCTTTTAAGTGCAGAATTACCTTTGACATGCCTTTCAACCAAACATCCCTTAACAAAATGAATGTAGGATCAAAAGAAAGGGAATGGTTACGTTTGTATACATAAATGGGTTTATATGTGGTCTAATAATTTTGTTATTACATATCTATTTTCTTAATTTTAATTAAAATGGGAACAGCTTCCAGGAAAGATATGATGTTTAGTGGTTCCCAGGGCCATCTGCCCCAAGGTACATAAAGTATATTCCCCCATTAAAGTTATTCCTTAAATTAGACACTGAAGTCCTTGAGAGCTGGCACTGGTTTTTGCCTTTCTTTATCTCTCCAGCCCTTCGCGTACTACCTGGCACCTTGTTGTTGTTCAGTCCTGTCCAAGACTCTTCACCTGACCCCATTTGGGGTTTTTTTGGCAAAGATACTGAAGTGGTTTGCCATTTCCCTCTCCAACTCATTTTACAGATGAGGAAACTGAGGCAAACAGGGTGAAGTGACTTACCCAAGGTTCCCCCAGCTAGGAAGCCTCTAAGGCTGGGTTTGAACCCAAAGAAAGGAGCCTTCCTGACTCCAGGCTAGGCGCTCTATGCACTATGGCACCCCCTAGCTGTCTTCACTTCATTTTTACAAATGAGTTAAAACAGAAGCCTAAGAAGGTCTAGTAACTTACTCAAGGTCCCCCAGATAGTGACAGAGGTGGGTTTTGAACCCAATCCAGAGGGGACGCTCTTTCCACCATACAAGTGATCTCCACTGTGGTAGTTAGCAGTGCTGGGGGCCATCTACAGTCTTCCTGATCTAGATCTGGCCACTGGACCCAGATGGTTCCGTAGGTGAAAGTGAGGCAGGCGACTGCACAGCCGTACCTCACTTAAATCCAATTCATATGCTTGTCATGGCATCGCCTTCATGATGTCATGATCCTCTTCCAGAATGAAGGACGAACAGCAAACTAGCAGTGGCCGTCTCCCCTATGATCATTATGACTTTCTTAGGAAGAGACCCTTTCTTCAGTTCCCTCTTCCTGCGACATGTGATCTAGCCCCCAAACTCATCCACTCTGGAAGCGCCCTCCCAGCCCAGCCTGCTTCTTAAGCTGGCAGAACCCTTCACACCAGCGGCCTGCCCCTCAGAGGGATGGCTCTTCCCAGAGCCTCCAGGTTGAAGAGGAACACCTGGACTTGTCTTCATTCTCCTCCAGGCTGAATTCCTTGATTTCCTCTACCATGAGCCTGTTCCTGACACCTCTCTCTCTCCTTGCCCCCACCTCTTCTACTCCCTTTTAACGGTTGGCTTCTGTAAGTAAGTGTGTAAGGAAGATTTTGTTATTCTTTTTAGATAATAGTTCCAAGATCCTAGGTAATACTGCCCACGAATTATGGTTGAAAACAACTTCTATTGTGCAGTTACAGTGGAGATATAGGGATAACATTATGTATGCCTGCATCGTGCAAGGTCATGGCGATATTGCTAAAGTTAACTTGTGAGGGTGCTGTTGGCAATATGCTTTCTTTGTCTATTGCCCTATAAAGCAAGTGGGCACTGATCAGTAAGTGGGGACCCCATTTTAGGATTTGGGTAATGCATAGAGGAATGTGCATGCCTGCCTTGATCTGCCCCCATCAAGGCTCGGGGGGCAGAGAATCTGTGTTTGCCTCCCAGGGCCCCCATTGAGGCTTAGGGGGACCAGTAAGAAGCGGTAGCTCCTACCATCCTAGCCAGCCCCTGTGAGAAGAGTGATTAGGCAATGCTGGAGGAGTTGGAGCTCCCATTATCAGCAAACTCCCTTTGAGAAGACTAGACTAGAATAAAGTAAGCTTATTTCACTGCTCCGAAGCTGAAGCCGTCTTTCAGTCCTGGCTGTCCAGTTCAAGAGTTGAACCTGTTAGAGGCTGGAGCCCAAAGACTCCAGTGCCTCCCGTGTTGCTACCTGTCCTACAGCTTATCCCATTAGAATGTAAACTCCTCGAGGTCAGGGACTATTTTTCTGCTTGCTCCAGAGCTCAGTAATGTTTGGCACACAGTAAGCGCTTAAAACAATGCTTCTTGGTTTGCCTGGAACTTTGGACCCTCTTGAATGTCTAATCCGAGATTGGGGGTAGGGGAGAGCTGCAGGGAGGGGGTGACCACTCAGGAGAAGTTCGCTCACCCCCAGCCCCTTCTCCTTCGCCACCCCACCGCCCTAGGCCGAGAGGACAGAGAGAAGGTTGGGTGCCAGCCCCGGCCCTCCCCGCAGCCCCAGCGCCCTCGGGCCAAGGCTGGGGCCAGGCGCGCCAGAGGGCTCCGCGCCCCGGAGAGCGAGAGCGGGCGGCCGGCGAGCGCCCCATAGGGGGCGGCTGGGGGGCGGCGGCGCTCGCTCGCTCGCTGGCTCCCCGGCGCTCGGGAGCCGTCGCTGCCGCCACTGTCGCCGCCCCTCGATGCCGCCGCCGCCTTTAAATGCTCGGGCTTGGCGTCGCCGCTGGTGCGGCGGCGGCGGGGGCGGCGGCGGCGGCGGCGGGCTGGGCAGGGCTCCGGCTCCTCGGCGCTGGCGGCAGCGGCGGCGGCTGCTGCTCAGGATGAGGGCTGCCGTCGCTCTGCTCACCATGCTCGCCAGCCTGCTCCTCTTCCTGTACCTGCTGTGGCTCACCGCCGACGGGCCCCTGAGCTCCAGGTAGAGGGGGCGCCGCGCGTCCCCCTGCCCCGCCGCCCTCCGGGCGCTCCCCTTCGCTGTCCCCGTCCTCGGGGCGCGGACCTTCGGAGCCCGGGAGCGGGAGGCGGCGGAGTCGGGACAAACCCCGGGGACGTCTGACACCTGGGGAGGGGCGGACGCCAGCGGGTCCAGAGGGACGGAGGGGCGACCCACCGGGATGGGGAGGCTCCGGGGGCGCTGCGAGGGCAGGAGGGGGCGCTGCGAGGGCAGGAGGGGACCCTCCACCTCCCCGACTCTGCACTGTGGTGCTGCCCTCCGCAAACCCTGCGGGCTCCCCGGTGCAGGCTGGCTCTGAGTGAGGCGTCCGCCGATGCTCGGGAGAAGCCGCCGAGCCGGAGACGAGCTCCTCCTGCCCGTGTTTGACAACTTAGTTTCCTTCCCTTCCCCAGGGACTGGAAAGGCGAAGCCAAGAAAGCCGTCAACTTTAGCCCCGAAATGCCCAGGAAGCTGAGTTTCCCTTTTGCACCGACCGCCCTCTCCGCGAACAGGTACGGGCAGGAGAGGAGGGAGGCTGCGGGAGGGCAGGGGCTGTGGGTAGGCTCGTGGCTCCGGGGCCGGGACTCTCCTCCCGTGCCCAAAGAATGCACCTCAGGGTGTCCCGGCGGGAGGTCGGGGGCCGGTCCGTGTGTCTGGGACATCTCGGTTCTAAACTGGGACCAGTCAGGACCACGCTCTCACCCTGCTCAGCTGCTCTCCTCGTCCAGGGACAGAATAAAACAGACCACATACCACCCTGAATGCCCCATTCCCTAAAATCAGTGATAGTGTTGGTGGACAGTTAAAAAAAACAAACAAACAAACCGGTTTATATCTCTTGGTGGGTTTTGCTTATTTTTTTTCTTTGTCTTCCATAACTAAAGATGTGGCTGCTTTGGGCATAGATGTAACGGTGGAGTAAAAATTAATTTGTATTTAACATTTGTCCTCTGACAAAGTAGAAATTAGGTTTTAAAATGCCCCGTCATTTGTGTGTGTGCGCGTGTGTGTGCGCGTGTGTGTGAGTGTGTGTGTGTGTGTGTGTGTGTGTGTGTGTGTGTGAGAGAGAGAGAGAGAGAGAGAGAGAGTATTCATCCACACGCAATGTGTTTTAGGGATTCTTTTTATTTTTGTTATTATTATAAATGTTCACATTGGCGTCATGTAGCTCCAAGCTTCAGAATAGCTCAAGGTGAGTGTGGTCTTCTGCTTTTTAAAATGAGTGTCTGGTTAGATGTGAAAATCCAGCTACAGTTGGATGGTGTTGGTGCTGAGGTCCCCTTTTCCCTCACCCACCCACCCACACACACACCCAGAAAAGATGATCACCAACCCTTTTTTTTTAAAGGAATGTAATCTATATAACTTTTTGAATATTTGCTTTTCTGCTTTCATTAACCATCTAGAACTAATAAGATTACAGAAATCCCAATTTTTCTGTGTTCAGAACACTTTAAAGGCACCTTGGAAGCCTGGTTTCTAGAATCATCTGAAATTACACTTAAATTCTTCCTGTCTGTCTTTCTCTGGGTTCTTTAATCCTTCGTCTTCTTCCTAAGGCACCTTAATTTTTCCCCCTTATGTATTTTGCTCACCCCTCTCTGCACCCCCACCCCCCACCCCTTAGCCAGTTTGCTTTATTGCTTCCCCTGTTCAGGACAGCGTTCTGGGCCCTTTCATTACTGCTAGTCTCAGGTTTGTGGTTTTCATCTTTCTTCCCCCGGCTCTCCTATGATATGTTTGTCTAGCTACTATGATCTGTGGGAAAGCTGCAGAAAAAAAATTGACTAGAAGTGTTGGCAGAGAGCACTTCAGAGAGTGAGGCTGTGGAGTCAGTTCCAATTTGCTATCAGCACATTTACAACTGAACAGAGAAGCAGAGGTGAACTGCGAGGAGGGAAAGATGGGGGGAAAGAACTGTATCTGTGCCCTTGCCATTTTGGGGTGAAGAGGGAAAGGGGAGAAGGAATCTATGAAGAAATCCTGCCCCTATTGTCCATCTGCTGTAACTGAGGTTGAAGAGGGAGCTGTGTTTCCTTTAACGCTCATATAATACCGATAATGATTTCTGAATTTGGCACAGTGCTTTCCTTTATACAGAGGCCACTATCTCTCTCTCTCTCTCTGTCTCTCTCTCTCTGTCTTTCTTTCTTTTTACTTGAAATGTATGTTAAACGGACAATACAGTTCATAAGAGCAGCAGACGTGAATGAAGATGGCTAAATCCTCGAGAATCAAGGTTATTTGGGGGTTGTGTGGGCTCATATCTTGTGTGCTGCACTCTCCATTAATGGTTTCTCTGAATGAGAAGGAATATGAAGAAAGAAAGAATGACTGCCTGGTGGGTGGGAAGGAGGAAATTGTCTCAGGGTTTATTGGCAGCAGAAAACATTCAAAGATAAGGGACAGTACAAAGAGGAATAATGAGGCAAAGAGGCTAGGACATGGAGCAGACGGGATATGGAGAGGAGAAAAGGAAGGAGATAAATATATCTCCTGAATTGCCAGATGTAACATTTCTTTTCAGAGTTAGGAGAGTTTAGCTGCTATGTAATACAAGGGTTCAAAGATTATATAGACATCTCAGTTGAGGGCAAGAAGGAAGGAATTTTAAAGAAGTCACTGATGGTTTAGATAAACTTTAGGAAAAATTCCTCAAGTCTCCCACCCCCAACAGTATGTTTTAAAGTACATTTGTCTCTGCATATTAATGTTATTAGTCTATCTACTTACTCTACCAGAATCACAGAATTTTAGAGTTTCTTAGAAGGGACCTCAGCAGCCATCTAGTTCAACCTATCCTGGACAAAGAATGAGTGCCCACTGTAGCATACCTGACAGATGATTAGTCAATCTCTTGAAGACATCCAATGAGGGGGAAGGGCAACCCATTCAACTTCTAGGTAGTTCCGAGGGTGGACTGGTAAATGTTTAACAATCATCTCTCTCAAAAAAAAAAAAACCAAAAAACAAAGTTTAATCTGCATTATTGCTAAGACTTTCTGATCACTTTCTTATCTAGACAATTAAAAAAAAAACACAATAAATCCAGGCCTGATTCATAGAATTTGCTGATTTCTGAAGTGTAAGTGCTCATACTGAAAATTTAACAGTCTGCTACAGCTGGTTAGAGCTGGCTTCAGAACACTTCTGGATAGTTCTAACCATTAGGTTTTTCCTGGCAGAAAGCTTAAATTTCCAACTTTGCAACTTCTAATCATTGCTCCTGTTTCTGTCTTTTGGAGGCCGAATAGAATAAGACCAACAGTTTCTATAGGAAGCCCTTTAGATACTTAAAAATTGCTATCGGTTTACTTCCACGCTCCGTCCCCTGGCCAAGTCTTTTCCTCCATGAGTTAACAATCTTGAGTTCCTGCAAACAATCCTTATATGGCATAGGCTCCAAGCCTTTATAATCCTGGTTGCCTTCCTTTGGACAATCTCCAGTTTATCTATATTCTTGCTATATGGTACTGACCAGAAACTCCTCCAATACTTATCCTTGACACCAGGGCAGAATATGATATGGCTATCATATCATTGCTCCTGGAAGCTATGTCTTTCTTAATGCAGCCAAGATCCCATTAGCTTTTTTGGCTGCCACATGAGTCAATCAATCAATTAATCAAAAAGCATTTATTAAGCTCTTGCCAGGTAGTGTTAAGTGCTGGGGATACGAAAAGAAAATGAAACAGTCCCTTTCCTTCCCCTCATATCGTTGTTCATATTGACTTTGCCATTCATTAAAAACTTAAGATCTTTTTTTCCCCCAAACTCCTGCCTAAGAATTTCTCTCTCATCCTGTATTTGTGATTTTTGAGCCCAATCGTAAAGACTTTACATTTATACCTTTTAAATCTCAACTAAATAGATTCAGCCCAGTGTTCTAGCCTGTCAGATGTTTTTGGATTCTGATTCTATCAACAAATGGGTTACTATCCCTGCTAGCTTTGTGTCATCTTCAAATCTGATAAATATGCCATCTGTGCCTTTCTCTAAGCCATTGATAAAAATATCAAACATCACATCGCTAACCAATGTTAGCAGATCCCTGAGGCACTCCCCTGGAGACCTTCTGCTCAAGTGATCATTCGTGGCTATTCTGAATCTGCCCATTCAACTAGTTTTGGGCTCATCCAGTTTCGCTGTAGTCTAGCTCCCATTTCTTCATCTTATCCACAAAAATAGCATGTGATACTTTATCAAACACATTGCTAAAATCTAGGTAAACTGTACTCTAATTTGCCAACTTAGTAACCCTTCCAAAGGGGGGAGATAGGGTTAGTTTGTCATTATTTGTTCTTCATGAAATCATGTTGATTCTTTGTGAGTAAGTTTTGTTGCCTCCTTTTCATCTTTAATGATTCCTTCTAGAATTTTTGCCAGGAATAAAAGTCAAACTCACTTGGCCTAGAGTTCAGTGTCTTTGTTCTCTTCCCCTTTTTTTGAAAACTGGTACCTTTGCCCTTCTCCAGTAGTGTAGTACTTAATCCACCCCCCAAGATCTTTTAAATATGGCTGATGTTGTTGAATCATTTCAGTCGTGTCCAACTCTTCCTGACCCCATTTGGAGTTTTCTTGGCTGGAGTGGTTTGCCATTTCCTTCTCCAGCTCATTTGACAGATGAAGAAACCGAAGCAAACAGGGTTAAGTGACTTGCCCAGAGTCACACAGCTTAGTAAGTGTCTGAGGCTCGATTTGAACTCAAGTCTTCCTGACTCCAGACACTGTGTTCCATCTACTGCACCACCTAGCTGACCCCCAAACATGACTGATAGGGACCCAGTAATCAGAACTGACAATTCTTTCAGTACCTGAAAATGTAATGGACTGGGTGAGTTGAATTCAACAGTACTATTTAGGTATTTTTAAAAAACAAACCTATTTCTTTATTTATATTCAATAATAACCTCCACCACCACCCCCCACTAGCCATTTTGCCCTTTCTAGTCCAAAGGTCATCCATTCTCTTTAGCAGAAAAAAACAGAAGCAGAATAAGTATGAAATAGTCTTCTTTCTCCTACCAGTTATCAACATCCCATCTGCCCTCCATAGCAGTCCTAGCCTTATTTTGGTCTTCCTCTTTTCCTCAAAAAAATATAAAAAACAACAACCTCTTTTTGTCATCCTTAACATTCTTCAAAGGCTTTAGTGCTCCTTCCATTATTATTTTAAAGAATAATTTTATGAATATTTTTATGTCAACTTCATTTCTGAATATATTCCCTCTCTTCCTCTCTCCACTCAGCCTTCCTTTGAAAGAAGAAAGGAGGTGGGGGAGGGGAGGAGAAGGCAGTTAAGCAAAACTAATCCAAACCTCAACTAAACCTAACTGTGTATACACTTATAGGGTTCCATCCCTCCAAAGAAGGGGGGGGGTTCATTTTTCTTATTTCTTCTCTATGACCAAGCGTGGTCCTGAAATTGTTGTTACAGGACCATGATATGCTTTTTTTGGTTCATTTTCTATTCCCTGCCTTCCATATTCTATATATAACTTTAAGAGTCTAA